CTCTCTCTCTCTCTCTCTCTCTCTCTCTCTCTCTCTCTCTCTCTCTCTCTCTCTCTCTCTCTCTCTCTCTCTCTCTTTCTCTTTCTCTTTCCCTCTCTCTCTCAATTTTATTTAAAAAATTACTTTTATTAAAAGTTTTAGATAAAGCTGCAGCTCTCAAGGTCTTATTTCCTTAAAAACTCTCTGTCCTATAGGACGGAAACCATCTCCTCTACCCTTCAAGTAATTTTTCAGAATTTTTCAGCAGCAGTAACACTGGAACGGGATCTAAGAAGTCCTTATGGCAGAGATGTCCAGCCTTGGCCACTTTAAGACTTAAGTCTTAAAGTGGCCAGGATTGGACATCCCTGCCTTATGGCTTCGGCAGACATGACACAGAAAAATTGTCTGTGTTCTTTCCTGGGATGAAAACAAACTTGGGGTCTCCACTCTTAAGGTCCCAAGAAAGCATCATCTTGGCGCAACGTGATTACAGCAGAATAGCAGCAACCTTAATTTTGGGGGGGAGCAGACACCCCTGGAAAATGGGTCCCTCTGCATGAGGCCTGAGCCTTCTTACCTTGTCTTAACAGGTGCAACACCCAAGATGTCCATTCCGCTGCCGGACCCTTTCAAGCTGAGCCAGGCTGAACGGATCCTCCTCCTCTTCTTCTCTTGCTCCTTACGTTTCCCGGGCTTCCCTTTTTTCTTCTTTCCTGGGGTCTTCAGGGGCTGCTCCTTGTACGGTTGCGTCTTGTTGGTCTCCTGGGTCAGGTTTTTGCCTTCGTCGTCCACGCCGAAGCGGAGAGGGTAGCTTTTGGCAGGGACCACCGCAGGTTTCGGGTTTGGCGATACCTCTGAGACAGCTCGGATCTCGGCCGTGTTCACCCCTTCGATTAGGTTTTGCAGGAAGTGGCGCCTTCGGATATCTTGCATCGACTTCCCCTTGTCGTGCAGCAGTTGGTATTCGGCCACTGTCCTTTTGCTGCTCAAAAACAAACACACAAACAAAAAAAGCAAACCCGTTAAAAAGCATTCATGGACACGAAATGAAGTTGTCGAGCCTGTTTGGAAGAAACAAAACAAAACACCAACGTTTTCTTTTTGTATAGCATAATCCCCGGAGCGAAAAGAGTCCAGCGTATCTGTCAAAGTTATGATTTAACAGCTAAACAGCTTATGTAATGATGTAATGTAAGGTGGATGATGCAATGATAGGAATGACTCAGCAGGGTCTGTGTCTGTATCCCTTTAAGAGCCTGAGTATAAAAGGGAAGGCTTTTTGCTGCTGTCTTTTCTCTCATCCGTTTCCTGCTGTAATTGCTGCGTGTTGGAGTTTGCTGTATTACCACGTCTATGTATTTTGTTCCTGGTGTATATTGTAGATCAGGTGTCTTCAAACTGGGCAACTTTAAGACTTATGGACTTCAACTCCCAGAATTCTGGGAGTTGAAGTCCACAAGTCTTAAAGTTGCCCAGTTTGAAGACCACCGTTGTAGAGAGGGTAATATAAACCACCATTTAATATAGACCACTGTTTACTGTATTTACTCCTGGGTTCTCTCAGTGCAATAAGACTGGGCATGCTCTGACAATATCCCACATTCTCTCTTGACTAATCAAGCCATGCAGCCCCCCCAGTTTTTGATATAAGCTGCTATTATAAACCTGAAGTGGTAATAACATTGCTTTTGTATCTGTTATTTGGACTGATTTAGCTTTCAGTATATGTCCAACTCTCAGTGACTTTTGAGAGGATTTCATTCTATCCTTGATATGTTTCACTAAAGTAATATTAGTCTATAGTAGCCTCAAATCTGAAGAGGTTTGCTGTCCTTCAACATGTCCAAGATATTAGGTCATGTGATCCCCTTCTGACAAGCAAAGACAATGGGGAAACTAGATTCAGTTTACATCTATATTAGTAACTTAACAACTGCAGTGATT